CCGCTTCCATCAGACGCTGCCAGCCTGACGCAAAGTGCGGGGGCGATGCCCGTGCCGGTGTCTGCCTGAGTCACCCCTTCCGGTGACCGTGACGAGGACATTCGGTGCTCCGGTGACTCCTGGCTGCTCCTTCCTTCCTCGGAACCAGGGATCAAAGTTCCCCGGGAGCTGGTGAAGGGCCCCAGCACCTTCATTCCCCTGGGAAAGGTAAARCAATGGGGATGGGGGGCTCCTTCACCCTTCCCTGCTGCGGGTGGGGGGACAGGAAGGGTCCCAACCTGCCCGTTCCTGGTGCCTGGTGGAGTGGGGTAGAGAGGGTTCACCCAGYCCAGGGGGATCCCTGGGGCAGGGTTGGGGGGGATCATTCTGGAGATTGGGGGCACAGTTGTGTCTCACCCTGGTGTTTGCCTGCCCTTCCTGTGCCTCCGTTTCCCCACTCATCCAGGCATATCTCTGTTTCCCCTGTGATGTAAAGGCCCACCCCAAAATTCTGCCCTGAAATCCCCAGGGCACCTGAGCCCTATCTCAGCAGCCACCATCCAGATGTTCCTCTTCATGCAGAGATAGTGCCCTGGTTTCGTCACCGCCCTTGGTGGGGCTGAGCCCCATCTCCTCCCCTTCACTCCAGAGCCCAAACAAACAACTCAACCCACAGGCTGAGCTGGACAGGCTCTGTAGGATCTCTCATGGAGACCCCCAAACACCCCCTGCCCCCCAGGGCTTGGAACAGGGAGATGGGCAACGGGAGGCACCGGCGGTGTCCGTTCCGGAGACGGGGCACTTGCAGTGGGGTGAGGATCTGATGTTGGTGCTCTTGGTGCCTTCATCCTGCTTGTTGGGGAGTGTCTCCGTTTAGGTTAGGGGGATGTTGGGAAGAGTGGGGGCCGACAGCTCACAGCCCTTCACTTCCCTCCTTTCCCCATTCCACAGGTCCCACAGGAAGGTGGGGAGAGCAGCCTGCGCCAGCTCCTCAAGGACTTCGTCTCGGCTGGCAGGGTGGACCACGTGGCCATGGTTATGGGGCTGCACCCCCAGTACCTCAGCAGTTTCTGGAAGACCCAGTACCTCCTGCTGCGCATGGATGGGCCCCTGCCCTACCACAAACGCCACTACATCGCCATCATGGTGAGCAGCAGGGGCCGGGGGATGTCGGACACWGGGAGCTCTGTGGAGTCCCAGCACTGCAGCTCAGCAGGCAGGAAGGCATTTGGGACCCCAGAGATGAATCCTTCTCTCATGTGGGGTCCGAAGGGGTTTGATGGGGTCCCAGCACCGCTGCTCAGGAGGCATTTGAGACCCCACAGTTGGGTCRCTCTCTGATCTGAGGTGCCCACCCCGGGTACCCCAACACCTGCCCTCCACGACCCCTGGGGACTGGTATTGATGGTTTGGGGGGAAAACCTCCCGTATCTGGAACTTGTATCCCCAGGGAAGATCCTCCAGGATCGATCTGGGAACAGTGTGGCTCCCTGCCTTGGCTCATAGCAGGGCTGGGGGCTGACTACTGCTCTCCCCACAGGCAGCAGCCCGGCACCGCTGTTCCTACCTGGTGGGATTGCACATGGGGGAGTTCCTGCAGGTGGGGGGCAACCCKGTGTGGCTGCAGGGGCTGCACTGTGCCCCCCCAAAACTGCGAAACCTCAATGAGATCAATAAGCTGCTGGCACACCGGCCCTGGCTCGTCACCAAGGAGCATATTGAGGTGAGAGCTGATGCTGCCAGCACAGATCTCCCCCCAAACACAGTTTGACCCCAGGAGCCACATCCCTGCTTGCACAGCCCCCAGATTTAACTGTGTCAGGGCTGAGGGGGTCACTGGGATGGGAAGGGGTGACTTTTCCCCGATGGGTATMTGGGTGAGGCACTTCCCAAACACACTCCCGTGTCCCTGCCCTTGGCTTGCCCCAGCACCAAGCTGTGGGTGGGGGTGGTACAGCTGGGGGCTGGGGCATCTCTGCAACCCCTCTGTGTGTCACAGGCTCTGCTGAAGCCGGGGGAGGACAGCTGGTCGCTGGCAGAGCTGGTGCAGGCATTGGTGCTCCTCACCCACTACCACTCACTCGCATCCTTTGTCTTTGGCTGCGGCATCAAACCTGAGGAGGACCAGGATGGGGGGAGCAGCTGCTGGCCCCCCTCACCCCACAGCGACAGCAGCCCTGCCTCTGGCGACAGCATGGGGGGCTCTGGGGTAAGAGGGGCTTTGCCTTGCAGCAGTGTGAGGGCATGGTGGAGTACTGTGTGCTTTATGGGGCTTCCCCTGGGAGTCCCAGAATGGTTTGGATTGSAAGGGACCTTAAAGCCCATCTCGTTCCACCCCTGCCATGGACAGGGACACCTTCCACTAGACCTGCACTGGCAGGGATGGGGCAGCCACAGCTTCTCTGGACAAACTCTGCCAGGCCCTCACCACTCTCACAGGATAGAATTCCTTCACAGTATCCTATCCATCCCTTCCTTCTGGCAGTGGGAATCCATACCCCATTGTCCTGTCCCTCCAGGCTATTGTTCCAAGCCTCTCTCCTGGAGCTCCTTTAGGCACAGGAAGGGGTTCTAAGGTCTCCCTGGAGCTTTCCCTTCTCCAGGCTGGACAGCCCTAGCTCTCCCAGTCTATCTCCAGAGCAAAGGAGCTCCAGCTCTCAGAGATCTCTGTGGCCTTTTTTGGGAACAGCAGATGCTTTAGGGCCATGCAGTATCTTCCACGTCCTCCACAGGACTTCACCCTCTTGCCAGGCCCAGTGATGGGTCATGGGAGCTGCTGGAATCTAGGCWGGACAAACCCAGAGGGAGATGCTTGTTTGAGCAGTCCTGGGAGTTCCCCAAGTGCCAGCAGATCTGGGCTTGGGGGTCCCTCTGGCTGACCAAGGGCAGGATCGACCCTGCCCTGTGCTTCCTCAGGGTACAGATGCCATGCAGGAGGTGGAGGTTCTGATGGAGAAGATGAAGCTGCTGCAGGAAAACCAGCTGGAGGAGGAAGGAGTCACACAGGAGGAGATGACAACACACTTTGAGCTGGAGAAGACAGAGAGTTTGCTGGTCCCTTCCTCAGGTAAGAACATGAAGGGGGCAGCTGGCTGGGGTTAAGGTCCCCATGGGGCAGGGGAGCCCAGGGGACAGGGGGAAGGAGCCAGTAGCTGCCTGAGAGCAGGATCAGCTCCTGGTGCAGTGCTGGTTCTCTCTGGGCTCATGGCTGCTGCCGTGGTGCCTTGTAGATTTTTCAGATCCCTCCCTGCAGTCCAACATMCGCTGCTTCCTGGAAGACCCTGAGTTTGGATATAAGGACTTCACACGGAGGGGGGAGCAGCCACCCCCCACTTTCCATGCACAGGTGGGTGCTCAGGAGTGGCTCAGGTCRGGGGGCTCCTACTTGGGGTTGTTCCCAGATTTGTGGACAGTGGGTGAAGGGCTGGAGCTGAGCAACCAGGTGCTGAAAGTTGGCAGGGSTGTCACCTTAGGGGGAGATCCCACCCTACGACCCTGGCCTTGGAGGGTGTTATGGTTTAAGCCCAGCTGGAGATGAAACAATGCAGCTGCTCACTTAGCCCCAGCTTTCTTACCCCCGAACCAGGGAGGAGAATCAAAATAAAACTTGTATGTTGAGATAAGAACAACTTGATCATTGAATATAAAGTTTAATCATTGAATATAAAGTAAAATACAGTATTGATGGTAAATAATTATAATAATGACAGTGTAAGTGATGCACGATGCAGTTGCTCAGCACCCACTGACTAATGCCAGACCCTCCTTCCCAAACCCAGATTGGCCCCTTCTGGGTAACTCTGCCCAGTCYATATACTGGGCATGACGTTCTTTGGTGTGGAATATCCCTCTGATGACTTTGGGTCACCTGTCCTGGATATCCTCCTCCCACTGGCAGAGCCTGAAACAAGAGAAAAAAAGTCCTTGACTTAGGACAAACCCAGCTTAGCAAAAAGCGAAACCATCAGTGTGTTACCAACACCCTTCTCATTCCAAATCCAAAACACAGCACTGGAACAGCTACTGAGAAGAAATTACCTCTATAGTGCCTGAAACCAGGACAGAGGGACGCCGCTTTTCCCCATCAAACCTCTATCCCAGCATCCTTTCTCCAACAGGATTACACCTGGGAGGACCACGGCTACTCGCTGATCAACCGCCTGTACCCGGACGTGGGGCAGCTCCTGGATGAGAAGTTCCAGGTGGTTTTCAACCTGACCTACAACACCATCGCCGTGCACTGCGGCGTCGACACCTCCATGCTGCGCCGCGCCATCTGGAACTACGTCCACTGCGTCTTCGGCATCCGGTACGTCCCCAAAACGTGGCTGGGGTTCCTTCTCCTCTTGGGGAAGAGCCCAGGAGCACGTCCAGTGACTTGGCCTTTGTCAGTGTGTTGGTGCTGTTTCACTAAGGGAAAATGATGCTGTTGGTGGGCTTGGCTGAGGTTCAGAAGCAGCCTGGAAAAGGAGAATTTAGGAAGAAATTACTATAAGTTKGGTGAGGCCTTGGCAGAATTTGCCCAGAAAGGTGGTGGAATCCTTATCCCTGGAAGTGTCCAAGGCCAGGTTGGATGGGGTTTGGAGCAACCTGGTCTAGTAGGGGATGTCCTTGTCCATGGGAGGTGCTGGGACTGGATGGGTCCCTTCCAACACAAACYATTCCATGATTCTATGAATGCACAAGTCTTGTGGCTGGAATAACACATCCTCCTCTCTCCAGCTATGAYGACTACAACTACGGAGAGGTGAACCAGCTCCTGGAGCGCAACTTGAAGATCTACATCAAGACAGTGGCTTGCTACCCAGAGAAGACAAGCAAGCAGATCTACACACAGTTCTGGAGGCACTTCAAACACTCGGAGAAGGTGCTGTCCCTCCCYTCCCCTCCTGGCAGAGTGTTTGGGGGTACTGACCCCACGCCCTGACTCCGCTCTCGCTGTAGGTGCACATCAACCTGCTCCTGCTGGAGGCACGGATGCAGGCGGCTCTGCTCTACGCCCTCAGGGCCCTCACGCACTACATGACCTGAGCTGCCTCTGCTCTCTCCTCCTCCTYCTGCCATGGCTGTGCAGGAAAGGCCCAGGGGCACCTGGTACCCTGAAGACTCATCTGGAGCATTGTCTCCCTGCTTAATGGGCTTGGAGCTGTGCAAGGGAAGTGGGTGCTTCTCTGTGCTTTCTCCCAGGAAAGGGGAGCCCCAAGAAGCTGTCATTGCTGGGAAGACCCTGAAGCGCTGCCCTGGGCTTGGCAGAGCTGTGAATGCTCCACTGCTCTGTGCCTTTCTCGGGTTATCCTGAATGTAGCCGAACTGGGGTGTCTGTGGGTGCAGTGCTGGTGTCACACCCCTGTGACAAGTCTTGGCACCAAGGCTGCCACCCCAGAGGACTGTTCCCCTGCCAGAGATGGCCAGAGAGTAAACAGGCTTTATCCCTGCTGTTTGGGTCCCACCGTGCTGGGAGACAGGAGTGCTGTCCAGGAACCCCCTCCCCACCTTTCTGCCTCATCCCCTGCGGTTTGGGATGTGAAGTGCCTTTAAYCTGAGTGCCAGGGCAGGAGCAGGGCAAGGACAGAAATACCTGAGTGTGTTTTACACCTTTGTGCATCTTTTTSCAATCACTGGCACATCTCCGCTGCCTTAGCTTTAGGGGCTGAGGTGGGGAGCTGTGCTGGGGCAGGGTGGGATAGGGTGACCATGGCTTTATCCAGACACAGCCGAGCACTCCCAGCAGCGCAGCTCACCTGGGGAGCAGGATCCAGGGCCAGCAGCATCACCACCATTGGTTTGGCTCTTGAATCATAGCTCCACTTAAGTTATTTCTCTAATTTTGGCTGTTGTTTACTTCTGACTGGGCATAGAAATGCCCCTGTAACTTTGCTATGAATCTTGTTTGAAAAAATAAATGAGTTCTTTTTTTATTCTTTCTCTCCTTTTTCACTTTCCCCTTGGTCAGCACCAGGGGCATGAGTAGAGTGCAGGGGTCCTGCTGCTCTGGGGGTGCCTGGGAGCAGCATCCCTGAGTTGTCCAAGGGGGGATGTTGTAGGTTTGAGTACTCTCCATTTGCCTGAGGGGCCGAGGTTTGACTTCAGTGCATCCTCCTTGTGGTGACTGTTTCCAGTCTTTCCTGGCTGTGTCATCTTCTCGCAAAGCCAGGATTTGAACACGACACTCATCCCCCTGTGGGTGTCCCGTGAGATGCTCTGATCTGCTGCTCTGAGCTGCACTGGTGCTGGGGGGGTGAGGCAGCACTGTGGACACCCCAGGCCCGTGATGAGGAGCCCAGCATTTATCAGGGCGTGGGCAGGAGCCCCTGGAAGCTGCTGATAAATCCCTGAGGAGGGACCAGCTCTGCACGGGAGGTGCCAGGAGCCATCCTGGTGAAGGCTGGGARTCAGGGTCCCTCCACAAGCTCCCCAAAATGAGCTCTATCCTTGCAGACACAGCAGAAGAGCTTGGCAGGATGGGGTACATAAACTTCCAGCTTTCTGCAGGGAAAATGCTCATTGCTTTAGATTTAAGATGACAACGGGTCTGTCATGATGTAGCTCACAACCTGTCCTCACTGGGGATAGATTTGGCTTATCCCGGGGRAGCTGTGGGCTCTGGGCACCCCAAATGGCTGCTGGCACATTTTAGTCCTTGGGAAGCAGCCAGGCAGCAGGGATGGTGCGGGGAGGGCTGGGAGCAGCCCTGATTCAGGACCTGCTGTCACCACCCGGGATAGGGGAGCCCCCGCGCACCCCCAGCTCTGCAGCAGCCAGGGACGAGCACCCTGGTGCGTGCGAGGGGGTCCCCAACACTTGCCAGGACAATGGAGGGGACAGACCGGCTCCACAGCCCGGAGCTGTTCGGATTTACAGCCCAAAGCGCCCCGGCTCCAGCCTGGCCTCGCAGGGGCTGAAAACGGGCGGGTGGGACCGGCCTGAAGCTCTGGGTCGGGACTGGCCGGTCCTCCCCGGCCGCTCGCTGGAACCCGCTCGATGCTGCCCCGGAATCCCAAAATCCCAGAGCGGTTTGTGTTCGAAGGGACCTTAAAWCTCATCTCGTTCCACCCTGCCCTGGGCAGGGTTACCTTGCACCAGACCAGGCTGCGGTGTGGGGGGAGTCGTGACAGCAGCTCCCCTCGGAGGCCTGAGGTTTTCAGGGTCAGGTTTCCCTTGCCGGAGTGTTAAAGGATAAATCTACCTCCGAGGTAACCAAGAGAATCATCTCAGGCTTCTGTGGGMAAACCCCAAACCCTCATCGCGGCCCAACACCCCATCACCCTCCATGCCAACTCTCCTCTGTCAACCCCTGACTCCAAAGCCCCATTCCTACACCTCCAGCACCCCCCACAGCAAGTTTCCACAGCCTCATCCCACACTCCCAGCACTGCCCACCCCAACCCTCCATGATCAGTCAGCCCCGGCCTCAGAGCCTCCCCCAACCTCCCCCGCACCGCACAATCCCCCACCGCAAATCCCCTCCTGCCCCAAAGCCCCACCCCAACCCCATCAACCCCAATCCCCAACGCCCCCACTCCTCCCTGTTCCGGGGGAGGGCGTGTCCTGCAGCAGGGGGCGTGTCCTGAAATAGGGGGCGTGTCCTGAAATAGGGGGCGTGTCCTGCAATAGGGGGCGTGTCCTGCAATAGGGGGCGTGTCCTGCAATAGGGGGCGTGTCCTGCAACAGGAGGCGTGTCCTGCAGCAGGGGGCGTGTCCTGCAGTAGGGGGCGTGTCCTGCAACAGGAGGCGTGTCCTGCAACAGGGGGTGTGTCCTGGAATAGGGGGCGTGTCCTGCAACAGGGGGCGTGTCCTGCAATAGGGGGCGTGTCTTGCAGTAGGGGCGTGTCCCGCCGTGGGGGCGTGTCGCTCCGGCACTACAACTCCCGGCATGCCCCGCGCGCGGCTTCCGGCGGGTCCGGGTTGCGGCGGAGGCGGCGGCCGCTGCAGGTGAGGGCGGGCGGGGGCCGTGAGGGCGGGCGGGGGCCGGGAGCGCCGGTACGGCCCGGGGAGCCCCGGCGGGGAAAGGACGGGTCCGGAGAGCCCCTGCTTGGCCTGTCGAGCCCCCTGCCCGGGGCCAGGCCTAAGGAACGGGGCGGGAGGCGAGAAGCGGCGGTCACTGGGGGGGCGGCTCGGGAGCCGGCGATGGCGCGGAGGGTCCGGGGCTGTGCCGGCGCTGCTGGCGGAGCGCACCGGGGGCGGCCCGGGGAGGCTCCCCGGCAATCGGCTGGCGGGTCAAACACTCTCCTTGTGCCGGCTCCGGACACAGCGAGCGGAGTTCCCGTCCCTCTTCGCTGCTGTCCTTCCTGGGACAATTCGGAAACCCTGAATGGCTTGGGCTGGGACTACAGTAAAACCCGGGTTTTTGTCCTTGCTGCCCTCCTGTGCTTTGCCTTGAGTGTTTCCACCTTTCCCAAAGTTCTGTCTGAGGCAGCCCCGTTGGTATTTCTTTGTTTGATCTCTCTTGCCTTAATGTTGACTGTAATTTGAAACGCCCCGCTGTGCTTTCTGGCTTAATTGTTCTTTCCTTCTGTTTGCACGCAGATGAATTATTTACCTCTGTGCCTTACACTGCGTTGTATTTGTCCAGGTGGAGGTAGGTGAGGGCTTGSTGCCCTTCTTTGGGGCTGAAATACTGCAAAAAAGATGAACGATGTGAGAAAAAGCTCAGCTGAGGCTGAAGTGAACTATAAAGCTCCTATAAGCTTTAGGATGTTTAAATGCTGCTTCCACAAACCTAGAAAGAGAAGTGGGAGTCAATCCCAGAATGTCCTGGATTAGAATGGCTTGGGGTGGGACTTTAAAGCTCCTCTTGYTGCTCCTCCTGCCCCAGGCAGGAGCTCCTTGCACTGTCCCAGGCTGCTCCGAGCCCTGTCTGACCTGAGCTCGGAGATTTCCAGCGATGGAGCAGCCCCAGAGCTCCGGGCAGCCTGGGCCTCAGCACCTCACAGGGGTGGATTGCTTCCCAATACCCATCGAAATGTCTCCTTGTTTGGTTTGATACTGCTCGCCTTGTTCTGCCACTTTCTGCCTGTATAAAAAAACATTCTCCCTTTTTATAATCTTCATTCCAGTCCTGGAAGACTGTAGTGAGATCTCCCAGGAACCTTCTCTTCTTGTAATTGTTTCTTTATTGCTTGAAGAAATCTGGACTTGTACAGGAGTGAGTGTTATACTTGAAATTTGCCTTTGAAAAACAAGCTCRTCAGCGAGTCCTGGGCAGAATTAGGGAAGGTGATTTATGAAGTTTCCATAGTCCACTCTTGGTGGGTAAGGGATGTTCAGGTGAGTTAGTTTGATGTGCTATAGAAGTTACAAGGGAGTGTAATTAGATTCCTCTCCTCGTGCTGTGATTTCCTGAGGAATGCCTGATGCTCTTCAAGCAAACTTTTTAAATGAATCAAAATTGATTTTAAGAGTAGGCAACACCTAAAATTGTAAACGTACATGTCTTAAATTCCTTTTTGTGAAGACAGCAAAAAAGGGCAAAATAAAGCTAAAATGAGGCCAGTTGTGAGGGACAAGGCTGGTACAGTCACACCAACTGAAGCAGAGTATCTGACAGTGATGGCAACAAAACCCCTTTCTCATTCTGAGTAGATTTAAAGCTGTTCTTGCTGACAGTGCTGGGAATGACTGCACTGTTCTGTCCCAAAACAAGGTGTTTTCAAAYGTGTCAGTGTGTAACACACATGTGATGCTGTTATCTGATAATRATAAATGTTTTGCAAGGAACATTTACTTTCTAGGTTACCAAGAAGTGAACTGTGTCTCAGACACAGAGCATTCTSAAGTTCTGGAAGCTGGAGTGGGAGTCCTGTTGGGAGCATGGGGCAGTGCCACAAACAGGGGGAATGTGATTGCATCCTTGTTTTCATGCTGCTGGATCAGTGATCTGTGATTATACAGCTTTCATTCAGTCACTGGTTAATTTGATTTCCAGTTTAATTTGATGACAGTTTTGAGAGCCAAATCATTTGTATTTAAACAAATGGCTTCTATTTTGATCAAATTTCATTGTGTTTGGCATGTGTTGGAGCATTATATATATTAGAAATCACTGAGACTGTGGTTGCTGCAGGTTTATTAGTTGGTGATGAATATTCAGTTACAAGCTGTACAAATCCTGTGTTTGGCCGGGGTGGGAGAGGAGGAGGCTTAAAGGCAGAACTGGGTTTTTCTGGCTGGTCTCAGTGATACAGTGAATGAAGAAAGTTGCAAATATCCTTGAGATTATTTGGATCACCTCAAAACGTGTCATTTTTCAGGCAGAACCTGAATTTTTGGCTGGAGAGAATGCAGGGAAGCTGGTAAGGCTGTTGGGGGCAAAGATGTCATCTTGCTCCTGCATCTATTAAGATGGGAGTGGAGATGCTTTGGGTCATTCATAATTAGTTCCCTAATTCTCTTTAGCTGTCATTTTCTGCATACAAGTGCCGTGTGGGCTTATTTTCTGAGTGTGAGAATGCTTTTATTTTTTGCAGGCAAGTTTGGAGCCCGTGGAAAACYAGTGGATGCACAACTGTGGTAGCATTGGGCCCCAGCTTTGTGTCGAGGGAAAAAAAGCCCTTTCCGAGATCTATTTTTATCAGTTAATTAGCTGCTCTTTCTTGCTGCCTTGTCAGTGCTGTGGTGGTGACTATTCCCAGCTCTTCCCTGTGCAGGGGGTCATGGTTAGGACAGGAATGCAGCAGCTCTCATGGCTGGAGCTTTAAATCCTTCCACACTGTGCCCCTGGGCCCAAGGGCAGATTCCACATAGGGGGTTGGCATTTAGATACACAGAATTTTGCTGGTCTTCAGCAGGGGTGTTTTCCCAATG